TACCAACAAGCAAATTCGGTCCTGTTGAGCCAATTATTTCTTCAACTGTTCACACTACGTCACAGAAAACAGCGGTTCGTACCGATACTTTGATGAATTGAGCACAATATACAGATCTCTTTAATTATGATTTATTTAATTAATTAATGAACTAATCATTTAATAGATCTATAAATGACTGAGTAACGAATGGATCAACTGGAGTCGATGCGTCGTTTCAGCGGGAAATAGCATACTTTGTTAGTAATATTCAGATGTTGATAAAGTGACCAGTTCACATGAACGCTGAACAGTTTTTGAACACATACATTAGTTTCACTGCGACAATTTATGAGAAGTAATGAGTGAAATGTGAAGGTACTTTCAGGCTACCAAAACTTTGGCCGTTCCCGTAAAAGGTAATAATGACTTAATAATTGCCTTTGTTTTAATCCGCATTTTTTCCAGAAACAGTTACACCAACCACCGCATCCACGACTGTCACAATGCCGACGGTGACCCCCTCAACCACAACTACTGAAGCAGCAACTACGACCTCCACGACTTCCGCTTCCTCTACTTCAGTCGTGATCACGTATATAACTTCTCCCTCATCAACTAGTTCCCTTGCCACACCTGCTACTACTACCCTGAGGTCAAATGCAACTGCAACTGCCTCGGTTAAAGCTGAGACATCAACATTGAAGCCCGTCTGCAAAGAATGCGGTGCAGTCGTTCAAATCAAGATTGAGACGTTCCATAATCCAACGGGACAACGGCTTGATGGTGGGAAATGCGCTGGCATGCTTTGCATTCCCAGGATGCAAGTAAAAATAACGCCGTGAGTTTTGATTCGGTACCGGAAGTCAAGTCACTCCGATTTTGCATCAGCTGGTTTCAGTAAATCCGCCGCCTGCCAGGGAAAATCCGTGCGCAAAAGTGTAGAGCTTTTTTCTACAGACAGCCAAACGACAGACAACTCCAAGCCATTCTTGTTCGCCGAAAACGCTTCGTACGGTAGCTGGCACAATCCTGAGATATTCAATTTTTCACCACCATGGAGAGTAATATATTTATGGCATCTGGATCTCTTTAATAACCTTCTTAGTTAATTAATACAGGGCTTGACGATGGACGTGGACGTGTACTTCTACGACGAGGCTGAATCTAAGGAATTTCCTGTCGCACGATTTGCCACTGGCATCGGTGAAGCTGATCGAAGAGGAGGAATTAAAATCACGCTCGACAGAGGTGTCGTCGGCGATGTGACGTATGGCACTTCGACGTTGTTGCCCAAGCCCTTCGTTGATCTATTTCTTTCAGGTTTTCTTTCTCCTACAGCGTTTCTGCCATTCACGAAAGTAAGCAATTTTGCTCTGGCAACAATTTAAATTCTCTATTCTTAACAAGGTAATAAAATTTTGTGGCGATCCATTCTGCCATACGCTTTTCGGCAATTTTCTCTCAGAGTATGAGGGTCATCAAATTCTGGCAGATCGTCATCTGGTTCAACGAATGATTCAACGAATTACCTATTAGCACTCTATTCATAATAGACGTTTTGGGTGAAGGACCAAAGTTTCGAATGATACCACCAGACCCCATATGATATTACTAGCGGGTGATGTTACCAGCATTTTGTACTGAACACAATATATAATAGCCAATAATACATTCTTGCAGTCAATACGCAATCAGTCTTGCCTCTAACTCTTTAGCCATTAAGTTTGGTCATGAAGGAGAGATATAAATGCCCTCATCTCTGTCCATTACCGTGAGTTTTGTCTAGATTAAGACCTCTTCAGCAACTAAACGGTTTTTTGTCTGGCTATTGTTGTCACAATCAGGTCGTTAAAATCTATTGCATATCCGGCTGTTGAATCATTTCAATTTATACCGATTCACTGTGCTTGCTCACGTTCAAGAGAAAGTAGATTATGAATCTTTTAACTTTCTGTACACGTAGCTTCAGCTCTCTCCACTCTGATGCGGCTGTGGCACCTGCTGCACAGAGGTTTCGTCGTTCTGGGCAATCAGATTTTTTCCCTCTACTTCGACCAACTGTGCAGCATGCTCAATCACACAAATAGTGCGATTTTGCATTGTGCCAGATGTGTACTGTACAAATCAATTGACTCTCAGTTTCTGTCACTTGACTGCTAATTTAGGCGTTTTGTTTACATGCAGTTCAACACCTAGCTTATGTTTCCACACAACTCAATCAAAAGTAAAGCAACAACATCAGTTGGTTTTTTTGGACTTGGACAGACTAAGTTTTGGTCACAGGGTTATGCATTGTACTGTCCCATTCAGGATGATCAAATACGTATTTACACATAAACAGAGAAAGTGCCCTTTCAAAAGTTGCTTGTAGAGCCACCAAGCGAATAATACACCCAGAAAAATATTATTTATTGGCACTTGTGATTAGCCGTTGCTGGCTATATTACATAATAATGTGCATATTTAAAATATATTACGTTTTTCTTTATAGGCGAATCAATAATGAAGTCAGAATCAATTTCACAGTCGACTCCTATTGCTACGGAAAAACCGCTGAGAGCCACCCTGCCAACTGAAATTACAACGCCCAATGAAAAAACGACCGCACAAACCTATGCTACAGTTACGTAAATTCATTACCTTAAAACATTTTTGCATTAACCTCATAAATATGTGACACGATTAAAAGCCATTTATCCTCTGGAACAATATGCATAAGCCCCATCGACCTCAACGGCGTCCATTTTTTCTCGTTTTTGTGGGAATCCTGCTGAAAGCCTTCAGACATCGCGTCATAAGTTAAAAATTCAATTCGCTATTCAAATTGCTACATTTATACTGTTTAGTACAATTATTTT